ACCAACTCCTGGAGTTTACTCAAACTCATGTCCATCGAGTCGGTGATGCCATCCAGCCATCTCATCCTCTGTTGCCCCCTTCTCCTCCTGCCCCCAATCCCTCCAAGCATCAGGGTCTTTTCCAATGAGTCAACTCTTCACATGAGGTGGCCAAAGTATTGGAGTTTCAGTTTCAGCATCAGTCCTTCCAATGAACACCCAGGACTTATCTCCTTCAGGATGGACTGGTTGGATCTCCTTGCAGTCCAAGGGACTCTCAAGAGTCTTCTCCAACACCACAGTTCAAAAGCATCAATTTTTCAGCACTCAGCTTTCTTCACAGTCCAACTCTCACATCCTTACATGACCACTGGAAAAACCATAGCCTTGACCAGATGGACCTTTGTTGGCAAAGCAATGTCTCTGCTTTTCCATATGCTATCTAGGTTGGTCATAACTTTCCTTCCAAGAAGTAAGCGTCTTTTAATTTCATGACTGCAGTCACCATCTGCAGTGATTTTGGAGTCCAAAAAAGTAAAGTTTGACACTGCTTCCATTGTTTCCCCATCTATTTGCCATGAAGTGATTGGACCAGATGCCATGGTCTTAGTTTTCTGAATGTTGAGCTTTGAGCCAACTTTTTCACTCTCCTCTTTCACTTTTATCAAGAGGCTTTTTAGTTCCTCTTCACTTTCTGCCATAAGGGTGGTGTCATCTGCCTATCTGAGGTTATTGATATTTCTCCCCGCAATCTTGATTCCAGCTTGTGCTTCTTCCAGCCCAGTGTTTCTCATGATGTACTCTGCATATAAGTTAAATAAGCAGGGTGACGATATACTTGATGTACTCCTTTTCCTATTTGGAACCAGTCTGTTGTTCCATGTCCAGTTCTAACTGTTGCTTCCTGACCTGCATATAGGTTTCTCAAGAGGCAGATCAGGTGGTCTGGTATTCCCATCTCCTTCAGAATTTTCCACAGTTTATTATGATCCACACATTTGAAGGCTTTGGTGTAGTCAATAAAGCAGAAATAGATGTTTTTCTGGAACTCTCTTGCTTTTTAGATGATCTAGTGGATGTTGGCAATTTGATCTCTGGTTCCTCTGCCTTTTCTAAAACCAGCTTGAACATCTGGAAGTTCTAGGTTCACATATTGCTGAAGCCTCACTTGGAGAATTTTGAGCATTACTTTACTAGCATGTGAGATGAGTACAACTGTGCGGTAGCTTGAGCATTCTTTGGCATTGCCTTTCTTTGGGATTGGAATGAAAACGGACCTTTTCCAGTCGTGTGGCCACTGCTGAGTTTTCCAAATTTGCTGGCATATTGAGTGCAGCATTTTTACAGCATCATCTTTCAGTATTTGAAATAGCTCAACTGGAATTCCATCACATCCATTAGCTTTGTTCGTAGTGATGCTTTCTAAGGCCCACTTGACTTCACATTCCAGGATGTCTGGCTCCAGGTGAGTGATCACACCATTGTGATTATCTGGGTCATGAAGATCTTTTTTGTACAGTTCTTCTGTGTATTCTTGCCACCTCTTCTTAATATCTTCTGCTTCTGTTAGGTCCATACCATTTCTGTCCTTTATTGAGCCCATTTTTGCATGAAATGTTCCCTTGGTATCTCTAATTTTCTTGAAGAGATCTCTAGTCTTTCACATTCTGTTGTTTTCCTCTATTTCTTTGCACTGATCCCTGAGGAAGGCTTTCTTATCTCTCCTGGCTATTCTGTGGAACTCTGCATTCAAATGGGAATATGTTTCCTTTTCTCCTTTGCTTTTTGCTTCTCTTCTTTTCACAGCTATTTGTAAGGCCTCCTCAGACAGCCATTTTGCCTTTTTGCATTCTTTTCCATGGGGACCACTCAAGTATGACCTAAAGCCAATCCCTTGTAATTATACAGTGGAGGTGACAAATAGACTCAAGGGATTCAATCTGGTAGACAGAGTGCCTGGAGAAGTAGGGATGGAGGTTCCTAACACTGTACAGGAGGCAGTGACCAAAACCATCCCAAAGAAGAAGAAATGCAAGAAGGCAAAGAGGTTGTCTGAGGAGGCTTTACAAATAGCTGAAGAAAGAACAGAAGCAAAAGGCAAGGGAGAAAAGGAAAGATATGCCCAACTGAACACAGAGTTCCAGAGACTAGCAAGGAGATAAGCGATCCATCTTAAGCGAACAGAGCAAAGGAATTGAAGAAAACAATAGAATCGGAAAGACTATAGATCTCTTCAAGAAAATCAGAGATATCAAGGGAACATTTCATGCAAGGATGGGCACAATAAAGGACAGAAATGGTAAGAACCTAACAGAAGCAGAAGAGATTAAGAAGAGTTGGCAAGAAAATACAGAAGAACTATACAAAAAAGGCCTTAATGACCCAGATAACCATGATGGTGTGGTCACTCACCTAGAGCCAGACATCCTGGAGTATGCAATCAAGTGGGCCTTAGGAAGCATAACTATGAACAAAGCTAGTGGAGGTGATGGAATTCCAGCTGAGTTATTTAAAATCCTAAAAGATGATGTTGTTAAAGTGTTGCACTCAATATCCCAGCCAACTTGGAAAACTCAGCAGAGGCCACAGGACTGGAAAAGGTCACTTTTCATTTAAATCCCAAAGAAGGGCAATACCAAAGAATGTTCAAACTACCAGACAATTGTACTCATTTCATATACCAACAAGGTAATGCTCAAAATCCTTCAAGCTAAGCTTCAACAGTACGTGAACCTAGAACTTCCAGATGTACAAGCTGGGTTTAGAAAAGGAAGAGGAGCCAGAGATCAAATTGCCAATACCTGTTGGATCATGGAGAAAGCAAGGAAATTCCAGAAAAACATCTACTTCTGCTTAATTGAATACATTTAAACCTGGACTGTGTGGATAACAACAAACTGTGGAAAATTCTTAAAGAGATGGGAATACCAGACCACCTTACCTGTCCCCTGGACCCGTATGCAAATCAAGAAGCAAGTTAGAACTGGAAATGGAACAACAGACTGCTTCAAAATTGGGAAAGGAGTATGACAAGGCTGTATACTGTCACCCTGCTTATTTAACTTATACACAGAGTGCATCATACAAAATGCCAGGCTGGATGAAGCACAAGCTAGAATCAAGATTACCAGGAGAAATACCAAGAACCTCAGATATGTAAATGATACCACTCTAATGGCAGAAAGTGAAGCAGACCTAGAGCTTCCTGATGAGGTTGAAAGAGGAGAGTGTATGCCTAGAAGTGGTATTGCTGGGGACCAGGATGGGGAATGCATGTAAATCCATGGCTAATTCATTTCAATGTATGACAAAAACCACTGCAATGTTGTAAAGTAATTAGCCTCCAACTAATAAAAATAAATGGAAAAAAAAAAAGAGGAGAGTGAAAAAGCTGGCTTGAAACTCAACATTCAAAAAACCAAGATCATGACATTTGTTTCTATCACTTTATAGCAAATAGAAGGGGAAAATGTGGAAGCAGTGACAGATTTTATTTTCTTGGGATCCAAAATCACTGCAGATGGTGACTGCAGCCATGAAATTAAAAAACGTTTGCTCCTTGGAAGAAAAGCTATGACCAACCTAGACAGCATATTGAAAAGCAGATACATTACTTTGCAAACAAAGGTCCATATAGCCAAAGCTATGGTTTTTCCAGTGGTCATGTATGGATGTAAGAGTTGGACAATAAAATAGGCTGAGCACCGAAGAACTGATACCTTCAAACTGAGGAGCCGGAAAAGACTCTTAAGAGTCCCTTGGACTGCAAGGAGATGAAACCAGTCAATCCGAAAGGAAATCAACCCTGAATATTCATTAGAAGGACTGATGCTGAAGCTGAAGCTCCAATACTTTGGCCACCTGATGCAAACAGCTGATTCATTGGAAAAGAACCTGATACTGGGAAAGATTAAAGGCAAAAGGAGAAGGGGGCAGCAGAGAATGAGATGGTTAAACAGCATCACTAACTCAACAGGCATGAATTTGAGCAAACTCTGGGAGATAGTAGAGGACAGAGAGCCTGGTGTGCTGCAGTCCACGGGGTGGCAAAGAGTAGGACATGACTTAGCAACTGAACAACTACAACAATACTTGTGTAGCAATATCTCATTGTGGTTTTAATTTGCAGTTTCCTAATGATATATGTTGTTGGGCATCTTTTCCTATATTCATTCATCATGTATATATCTTCTTTCATGAGGTGTCTCTTCAGGTCTCTTGTCCATTTTTTAATTGGGTTGTTGCTTTCTTACTGTTAAGTTTTAAGAGCTCTTTATATATTTTGAGCTACAGTCCTTTATCAGATGTCTTTTGCAAATATCTTCTGCCAGTCTGTGCTTTGTCTTCTCATTCTCTTGACAGTATTTTTTGCAGAACAGAAGTTTATAATTTTAATGATGTTCAAGTTATCAATTATTTCTATCATGGATCATGCCTTTGGAATGGTATATAAAAAGTCATTGTTATACCCAAGGTCATCTACATTTTCTATGTTATATTCTATTAATTTTGTAACCTGCATTTCATGCTTAGGTAGGTGATCTATTTTGAGTTAATTTTTGAGAAAGATCTGTGTTTAGATTCTTTTTTTTTCTTGGCATGTCAATGTCCAGTTGTTTTATCACTTTTCATTGAAAAGACTATTTTCTGTCCATTATATTGTCTTTGTTCCTTTGTTAATTGGGTCTGTTTAATTGGGTCTATTTCTGGGCTCTCTATTCTATTCCATTGATAATTTTTCTATTCTTTCACTAAAACCACAGTGTCTTAATTACTGTGGCTTTATTGTAAGTCTTGAAGTTGGGTAGTATCAATCCAACTTTGTCTTCTCCTTGAGGATTGTGTTGTGTTAGCTATCCATGGTTATTGCTTTTACTTAGAAACTATAGAGTCAGTTTGTCAATGTCCACAAAATAATTTCCTGGGATTTTTTTTTTACCACAAATAGGATCTTTTATTTGTCACCATTAAAAGTCTGCATTTTAAACAGATTCTTGGACTGGTGGCTGGTATCCATCGGCTCATTCAACTTTAACACCTGTCTCGTTCCCAGTAGCTTTTTCAGTACTACCTTCACCATGTAGCTCCATGAGTTTTCCCAATTCAAATTTGGACTTCTTCAGCATTTTTACTTTTCTAACGAAGACATCATGGAGTGGATAAATAGATTGGCAAGCCTTTTCTATGTCTTTTCCAATACTATCTGGAATCAGTTTATTGACCACCTCTTTCGAGTCATTTGTCTGCTGGTGCTGAGCATAAGAGGTCTTCCGAATCTGATTGTTGCGTTTTTTAGTAAAACCCACACAGAGTAACCATTGGTAGTCTTGATATCAACGTGAGCTTCAATCATGGTCTGCCATTTTTTGACCATGGAGCATATTTTGTCACAGGTAAGATCCATACCATGAAAATTAGTCAGGCAGTTTTTGCCCTGAACATCCTCAGTAATTAGCTTGAATTTTCTAAATGCTACTTCATCATTCTGCAGAGCAGCAAGACTTACTTCAAAAGCATGACATTTGAGGCCATCAGATGCGATTTTTGTTCCTTGAGTTCTCATGACCAGTGTTTTCCCAATATTCCTTATATTGAACATAGCTGATGCTTTCACATCATACCAATCTTTTTTAGAAAATGGGTCAACGACTTTCTTCTTGGCTCCCTTTTTGCCTTCTTTCATAAGGTGCTGGTTCTTGCTGACCACCATGGTGCCGCTCAGAGCCAAAAGGGCTTTCCTGGGATTTTAATTGGGACTAAATTGAATATATAAAATAAATTGGAAAGAAGTGACATCTTGACAATACTGATTCTTCCTATCCATGCATATGGAACATCTCCATTTACTTAGAGCTTTGATTTCTTTCTTTAGAGTTGTGTAGTTCTTTTCCATATTTTTAACATAACACAAAAGTGTATATTCCTTAACTAGTCCTGTAAGGTGAAGTCAAGGTCTTCTCTTGAGAGGTATCCGGAGTTCTGTTCCTCATTCTTATGAAATGCATACTAACAGTGAATACTAGTTACATTTTATTTCTAGTTACATTTCTATGTTATTATTATTTCTAGTTACATTTTACTTGCATTGGAGCAATAACTTAAAAAGCAACAATCAATCTGAGAGAGGCCTTCTAATTTTTATAATATTTTTACAAATTTTTAATTTTCTTGCTCACTCCAGATTAATACAGATTGATTTTAGAGCTCACCTCTATTGTGTTTTCCCAAGGCTTTTATCTGAGCATTCCTACATGAAAGAAAGCTTTATTTTTATAGTTATATCACATTGGTTTCTTTGACATTTAATTGAATTGTTATTATATCAAGTGTAATTAGCATATAAAAACATTTGCAAATATGCAAATGATTCTTGATAAGCATACACCTCAACCAGTAGGAAAAGGACCACATAAGCACACAAGGAGATGCCTACCAGCCATGAGCTTTAGATGTGCTACAAGTATTATATGCATCATAGAGGACCCAGAAACCACTCAGAGGTCAGCTAACAGAACTTCTACTGTTTATTGTTCATTTATTTTGCTTTATTTTTATGAAACAAAATCACAAAGGCAAAAGGAACAAAAAGCAACTTTAATCACCATTCTGTATTTAGAAACTGTCAATAGAATAGGTTTAAAGAATAGAATTTTAAAGGTTTTTGAGGAGGTGGGTGTTGTGTGTGATGTTTGTGGTGTGCTTTGACAGAATTTTTGCAGTTCTTTAATTATGAAATATTTTATACAGACTTCTTGATGATGGCTATTTTGACAGGAATGAGGTAATACCCTCAGTGTAGTTTTGATTTGTATTTTTCTAACAATTGGCAATGCTGAGCATCTCTTCATGTGCCTCTTGGCCATCTGCATATCTTCTTTGGATGAATGTCTTTTTAGATCCTCTGCCCAGTTTTTGACTGGGTTGTCTGCTTATTTTTTATATTGAGCTGTTTGCATATTTTCAAAATTAATTCCTTGTCGGTTGCACCATTTGCAAATATTTTCTTCTATTCTGTACGTTATCTTTTCATTTTGTTTATAGTTTCCTTTGCTGTGCAAAACTTTTGAGTTTAATTAGGCCCCGTTTGTTTATTTTTGTTTTTATTTCCATTACTCTAGGAGACGGTTCCAAAAAATATTGCCTCAATTTATGTCAAAGGGTATTCTATGTTTTTCTCTAGGAGTTTTATAGTATCCAGTCTTACACTTAGGTCTTTAACCCAAAAGCATAGACTATTATAATGAACAACTCTTTGCCAACAACTCAGCATAGGAAATGAACATTGGAGATATAAATAAAACCTCCTGTTTATCTTTATGTATCCATCTGGGTCCCAACAAGAAACATAGTGACACACTCAATATGAGATCATTCCAAGAGATTCTGATAGAAAAATGACTATTTACAAAGGTGTGGGTATGAGAGAGCTACAAAAAACAGTGCAGAAATTTGGGATTAGTAGCAACAAAGCTGTTACCACCCTTAGGCCCAAAGGGATAAGAAAAGGAGATATGCCTGGAATCCAAAGAATATCATGTGGAATTGGCTTTTTTGAATGTAGCAGAGACCTCTGTCAAACATAGGCAGTCTGAGGTGACCTCACAGAGAGGGAGCCAGAAGAATACTCTCCACCCTCTTTCTGAATTCCCAGTGGTTTCCCCATTGTCCAAATCCTTCCTGAAGCCACAGAACATGGAGAACCCGTTTATGCAGTTGATACAAGTCAGCCTCCCCTGGCAGAGAGCAGAGAGTGGAGAAGAGAGTTAACTGAAGAGGCAGATATCAGTTATTCAGCTTTCTCATCCCATCCCACTCTCTTCTTCCTCTCATCCACAGAGGTATCACTAATCTGAATTTAGTGTTCAGTATTTCCATTCAAAACTGTGTACTTTTACCATACTTGCATATATCCATCTGCACTACAGAGTACTGTTTAGTCTGGTTGTTACTACAGTTATCCACCAAACACAATCCTAAAGGAAATCAACACTGAATATTCTCTGGAAGGACTGATGCTGAAGCTGAAACTCCAATACTTTGGCCACCTGATACGAACAGCCGACTCATTACTGGGAAAAGATTGAGGGCAGGAAGAGAAGGGGTGACAGAGGATGAGATGGATGGAGGGCATCACCAACTCAATGGACATGAATTTAGCAAACTCTGGGAGATAGTGAAGGACAGGGAAGCCTTGTGTGCTGCAGTTCATGGGATTGCAAAGAGTCAGACATGACTTAACGACTAAACAACAACCAAATACTTGGGGTGATCTTACACTCACATAGTAAGATTATACTTCCCAGTCCTTTAAAGTCCAGTGTGACTATGTAACTTTCTTTGGACAATGAAATATGAGTGAAAAGGAAATGTGCCCCTTCCAGGGAGAAGCTTTAAGAACTACCATGCAAGTCACTTTATCTGCTTCCCACTGGTAAAGTGATCAGTGAAGCATGTGATAAAATGAAGTTTATATCAGCCTGGGACTCTGAATTACTCATGAACAGAGGCCCCAGATAATCTGTGCTGGATGTATCATGGATCTAAGTAACTGAGATTTCAGAGTGTTTGTTAAAGTAGCATAACTTAGCTTATCTAAACAGAAATGTTTTACATAGTTTTAAACTTTGTATAAATTATATTCTGCCATATTTATCATACAGCAGTTTTTTCCTTGACTATTTTTTTAACACCAAAAACATTTTATATTGGGGTATTTTGAAATTCACTCATGCTAATTGCAGGTAGCATATAAAAATCTATAATATTTAACTGGTTCTCCCATTGATAGAACAGTTAAGATACAATTTTTGCCATGACTCATAACGAGTATTCTGGTACATGTCTTCTGTGCAGATGTGCAAGAATTTCGCTAGGGGATATACTCAGGGGAGGAACAACGTGCTTTTAAGCTTTTCAAAGAAAGTCACAGGTTGGGAGGAGACTTTGATCATTATGAACCATAGTTTCCATCAAAAAGGTTTTCAGAAATCTTTGTCCCTCAGGAGTGTGAAAACTGCCTCTCTCAGAACACTAAAATATAATATTCAGGAAAATTCTATTTTAAAATTGGCCTGACCTTGAGAAGACCAAAATCATCCTTAAAAATTAAAGAGATCCACCTCAGAGAACAAATGGTTACACAAAATAACACCAATTTACTCTTCTAAAAATCTCTTAGGATAAAAGGCAAATTGAGATAGAGGAAAAAAATAGTATAATTTGGAGTTGGTTCTTGAAAAATTTTCTTTTTACAGGTATAGTGAGAAATAAAACTACATAATCAGCCAGTAACTGATTAAAAGTATTATCAGCAAAGACAATTGGTGACTAAACAATGTGCTACCAGTCATGGGTCAGGGAATGATAGTATAGAATTACCCATATTATCTTTCCCATTCTCAGTTTAGGTTACTAATATCAAATAATCACCTTTATTTTTTTTTTAAAAAGCAATCTGAATAACAGGATTGGTTCCCCCACCCCACCCCACTCCTGCCCAAAGGTGATGAGAAATAGAGAAAGATTCTGGAAATATTTGAATGAGAAAGGAAAATGCCTCAGAACATGTCATGTACATGTCTTTAGAATCCACCATACAAAAATATCCTGTAGTAAAAGATATCTGTGTAGGTAACAAGTATTGCAGACTGTAATATTAAGAACATAAGGTATAGTAATAGTATTTATTTTTATGGTACTCAAGGCCCTAGAAAACAGTTATGAAGATGATTATAAAATTATGGAAACTTTTGGATGGAGTGGAGCACATATGGAAAGCAGATTATGAAACACTCTGGTAATAGCCTAGTTGTTTTTTTTAAAATCTGGAGTCTGTCACAATATACATGAAAATATCAAGAGCTGTTCTCTAAGCAGTGGGATTGTGGATACTTTTAAATTTCATTTTTTATGTATACATATATCTAATTTTCTATAAAATTAAATATTAAAAACATTATACATTACATTTAAATTGCTTATGTTAAGAATTTGCTAATGGCTGGAAGAAAAGAAACAAAAAAATTTTTTTGCCTTCACATCAGCATTTTTTAACTGCCACTTTCTTGACTTTCAGTGTAGGGCTTTCGTTTTGTTTCCATGTGTTCAGACTCAGGCCACTGGGATGTGCTCACTTCCAGAGACTAGTGTGATAACAAGAGGAAATGCCAAAGGAGAACCTTCTTTCTTCATGTCCAGTTACTCTTCTCCCTCCCTCTAGGCCTGTCTGAAGCCCAGAATAACAAAGGCTGTTGTTCAAAGTACAAACTAGTCTGCAGCAGAGTGGGGGCTCATATCACAGAGCAAGAGTGCGCAGCAAAGCTCTCAGTTGCTGTTTCACCTGCATAGCTTTTTCATACCAGTTCCTGCCCCCTGCTCCTCCACACCATTTCACCCTATCCAAAGGTCATGTACCCATTCATTCTTTTTTTTTCCATTTATTTTTATTAGTTGGAGGCTAATTACTTTACAATATTGCAGTGGTTTTTGTCATACATTGACATGAATCAGCCATGGATTTACATGTATTCCTCATCCCGATCCCCCCTCCCACCTCCCTCTCTACCCGATCCCTCTGGATCTTCCCAGTGCACCAGGCCCGAGCACTTGTCTCATGCACCCATTCATTCTTAAAAGACTAGAGATAAGAAAACCCACAGTTAAGTTCCCTCATTTTGCAGATGGAGATATTTCCAGAGAGGGAAAGTACCT